AGTTGGTGGTTCAAACTCACCAGCTGCTCCTTGGGAAACATTGAGGCTACCTGCTCCGGTAGAGAGAGACTGGAGATGTGAGAGGCAGAAAGTGGCAGAGAGATACCCACAGGGAGACAGAGAGGAGAGAGGAGTTCACGGGGGTGGTGGGAGGGAGGGGATGGACACAACCTCTCTGAGGAGAGGAGCCCAGTGGTTGAGCACAATACATAGGGTCGCAGTTCAAGCTCACCAGCTGCTCTTCGGAAACCCTATACAGGGTTGCTATGGGTTGGAACCGACTCGACAACACTTCACAACAACAACAACAAGCAGTCCTGGTGAGACACTGTAGGATAAACACTAGCCTGCTAACTGCAAGATCAGTGGTTCAAATCCACCAGCCACTCCTTGGAAACCTTGGAAACATCACTGAGTGGGAACTGACGTAGCAGCAATGTGGGGGCGTGATGAGTTGGGACCAACTTGATGACAATGAGTAATGATATGTTTGGGGATCTAGGTACATATTGAAAGGAGCCCTGGTAGCGCTGTGGGATAAATGAGAGGGTGCCAACTGCAAGGTTGGAGGTTCAAACCCTCTAGCTGCTCCTTGGGAGAAAGACAAGGCTGTCTGCTTATGTAAAGCTTTATCATCTCAGAAACCCTTTATAGAGTTGCTATGGGCTGGAACTGACAGAATGGCGGTGGGTTTCCCCATAGGACTACCCCAGTAGGGACACACACATGGACTGTGTGTCCTCGCTGGGTCTGCTGTGTCTCTGAGGCAGAGGACAGTGTCATGCACACAACAGGCCTCCATCAGCAGACTGAGCATCATCGGAGGGCTGGTTGGGGGCGTTAACCAGGCAGGGAGCTTGGAGTAAGAGAAGAGAGGTGTCCTTCAGTGCAGGGGAGTATGTGCAAAGACCCTGTGTTAGGAGAGCGCTCCCAGGAATACAAGCCACCAGAGCGCCGTTTGTGGTCTTTCTGAAGTGCCACCACCCTGGGACACACAGGTGTGCAGGATGCACAACCAAATGCCCAGTGTGGGTGTAGAAAGCTGGGTACGAGCAGAAGCTGAATGGGAAGGAAGTGGCACCCTCAAAGGCAGGAAGGTGAGGGGGTTCTTGGGTGAGTTGCTGGCCTCTAGAAGGCGCCAGGCCTAGGGTGTCTTTCGTGTGTGCTGGGGAACTGGGGTAAGTCCTGGGGGGCACTGGCGACCACGCAGGCGGAAGAAGGCGGCCCTGAATTAATCTGTCACGAAAGGCTGGCCGTGGTAGGCACAGGCATGATTTAGATGAATAATTGAAACGCTCCGATACATTTATTATCCCTTTAGTGCAAAAGTGGCAGAGAAAGACGAGGGGTAATTGAAAAAGAGCGTACAAATCTCCTGGAGAAAGCTGCCTCCTTATGCCAAGTAAACATTTCAGTCCTAATAAACAGGGAGCCGCGGCAGGGCCTTGTCCATTCTCATCCTGATTTAAGATCCGCCTCCCTTCTTACCATACAATAGGAGAGGTTGATTTTATTTGATTTTTTAAAAAAGTTATTGAATCCAGAAATGGCTCTCAGGAAGGGAGGAGGGAGAACAGAAGTGGCTGACCGGGCCGGGCACCTCTCCCCACCACAGACATGGGGCCCTCAACCTCGAGGATCTCTTGCTCCTTTTGTGCCTGGTAAACTCCTATTCTACCTTCAGAACCCAAGTCAAATGCCCCCTCCTACCAAACAGCTCTCCTTAAGGAGAAAGCTGAGTCCTAGCATCTGGCCAGGCTTCACTCAGTGAGAGCCTGGGGAAGGAATTGGGAGGTGGGAAGCACACCTCTGGAGCAAGGCAGGCCCAGGGGTTCTGGACTCTTCCCTGGAAACCGCACTAGTCCTCTGGTGGGGCTCTTGGCTGAGGTTGGGGGTGCCAGGGACACTCCTGTGCCTATTCCCCTCAAGTCCTTCCACTCCCACTTTGACCCCTCCCCCCCCACAATCCTCCCTGCAAGCCAGGCCCGGCTGTCCCCTTCTGTCCCCCAAATCTATGTATTGGTTACCTGCTGCCTCCTCCATCAGACTGGACTGTTAGAGAGCGAGAGCAGGGCTCCTCACACAGAGTGCCACGTATGAGTGCCACTGAGCAGGGTCTAATCTAGGGGCTCGGGATCCCCTAGAACTCAGGGAGAGCCCATTCTAGTGGGGGAGACAGACAGCAAACGACAGCCATAAAATACAAGTATCTGTGAGTGTCCCGGGCTGCCGCTGCCAGTTTAAATAGAATGGTAGGGCAGGCTGAAAGGGGTTCATGCTTGTTAGTACATGGATGGGTGGGGGGATGGATGGAGGGATGAATAGGTGGGTGGGTAGATGAATAGATAGGTGGGTGGGTGGATGGATTATGGTTGGGTTAATGGATAGGTAGGTGGGTGGGTAGGCAGACTGGTGGGTGGTTATGGGAGGGTGAGTAGGTGGATGGATGGATGGATGGATGGGCGAAGGGGCAGATAGATGGGTGGGTGGGTGGGCCTGAACTTCTGCCAGAAGAGGGACGGACCTCAGGGCCTCATGGGAGCACTGGGGTCGGCATGGGCAAGCAGGTGGGTACTGGGTATCTCCCACTCAAGTAGGTCAGTGGTTAAGGCTGGGGAAGGCCAGGGGACGGTGGGGTGCTGAGGTGGCAGGTAGGTCCAAGCACATGGGGGGGGGGTCTGTGTCCTGTCTCCATTCCCGCTCCAGTTAGCGCCAGCCCCATGTCGTTCCCACCATGGTCCCCTCCCCGCCACCTTGTTCCAATCACATTAGCGGAGTGACAGCCCCGGCAGGCACTCCAGGCAGCTCCATAAATCTTAGCCGTGTTAAAAGGCTGGACTCTGGGCTCACTTCCTCCAGGGTCCCGGCCCCCCATCCGTCTCCCTGCAGTCAGGCAGGGAGGGGGCTGCTCCAGCCTCCTCCCCAATCTCAACTCTGCAGGCATGGGAACAGAGGGCCCCTCACTGCACTTCCCTTCCTGAGTCTGGCCAGAGCGTGTGCCCTTTGACCTCCCAGAGTGAGGTAATACTGTGCCATCTCTGAAGTCACCTGCCCTGCCTAAAATCTCGGAATCTCCCAGGGTCCTCCTGGTGGAAGTCTGTCTCTGCTTTTACCTGTAGCAGATATTTATTGAGCACCGATTGTATATGGCAGATCTAGGGCTAGTGGCTAGGGACACAGTCTTGCCCTTATATCCTCAGGGACACAGAAGATAAACAACGAACATAAATAAATCACATGGTGCGTTAGAAAGAGGGGCATTGGAGGACCAAGGTGGACAGGAGTGGGTGTTCTAAGTTCGCCTAAGGGAGAAAGTGGACATTAAAGCAAAGGCTTGTACGAGGTCAAGGACCTGGCCACATGGTTGTCTAGAGGAAGGGCATTCCAGGTAAAGGGACTAGCCCGTGCAAAGGCCCTGAGGCAGGAATGGGTCTGACTTTTCCAGGAACTACAGGGAGGCAAGTGTGGCTGAAGCCAAGAGTGTGTGTTCAGGGGTGTACGGGTAAGTGTGGGAGGTGGTTGAAGCCCGCGTGAACCACAGTGAAAACCTTGACCTTGGCTCTGAATGAGGTGGGAGCTCTGGCAGAATGGTCTGACTTAGGTGGTCCTTTGTCTTCTGGCCTGTCCTGGAGGCTCCTGCTGATCCTCTGCTGGTCTCCCACGATTCCTATTTATTGGCTTCCCCATGCCCCACACTCCCCCTTGCTGTAGGTCTTCCTTCACCTGTGCTGTTCCCTCTGACCAAAATACCCTTCCCACTCTCCAGGTCCTGGGGTCCCTGTAGAGTTACCCCTTCCTTCCAGAAGCCTCCACCCTGATGCCCAAGTCTAGAGAGTTCTTCCCCCTGAGTTTCTGCTGTGCCTGTGGCCTTCCCCCCGGCCCCCCAAGCACGGCTCCCAGCCAGCATGACGTGGACATAAGGTATTGGTTGAAGAATGAATGGACAGAGGAAAGGGGAGGCTGTGGGCCAAGCATGGCAGGGGGCAAGTCCACCAGGGCCTCTGAGGACCATCAAAGGAGGGGCTTAGAGGAGAAGAAGTCCTGGAAGGCTGTCTGTCCGTCTGCAGTCCCTGGCATAGCCCCCGTCTCATCGGTAGCCTTGACCTCCATGGGACATGGGACACGGTTGGGGGAGAAGAGGAGAGGGAAAACATTTTCAGCCACAAACAACCCCCGTCCACATCCTGGCTGGTCACCGACAGCTCTTAACACCGTTCTTTTATTTATTTATGACCTCCGCTGCCCCTTTTATTTTTCCCCCCTTTTAAAACCTGGCCTGGGCCTCGCCACCGCTGCTGTAAACACGGCCCCCGGGATTTATCCGACGGCGCATTAACCTCCGGCCCCTCGCTCACCAATCATCTTGCCGCTTCACAGACAGTGGACGGCCTGGCCAGCTGGGGGCCCAGGGCTGGCACGGGCAGGGGCCAGGCTGGGCTGGCTAGGGGAGGAGGGCATGGGAGACAGGCTACCCTCTCTGCACCGTGACACAGGCTGACTTCCTCCTGCACCCTCCAACCTCTTATCGGTGGCCTCCCAGTCGCTATGGGCAAGAGTGACCGTGCAATCACTCCTGGGTAAACACAGTTCTCCCATCCTGCTTGGGATCTGAGCAAGGCAGAGGTAATGATTTCACTCTTGCAAATGGGGAAACTGAAGTGAGGATGGCACAGAGCTTCCAAGGTCACATGGTGTCAGGGGCAGAACTGGGCTGGGCTTTTCCAACACACTTGAGGCCTCCTAATCCCATTTAAACTTCCAACTGAGTTACAAACCAGGAGACCAGAAGGCTGGGTGGTCTGCCTGGGTAGCCCCTGTGCTGATGAATGGAGGAATGGAGTAGAGAATAGGTGGAGAGAATAGGCTGGGAGGATGAGGGGGAGGCTACAACACGGAGGGGCATAGGAATGGGGTGTCCACAGAGGCCCAGAGGGCAGGAGAGACGCCACCAAACACCCATGCCCAGTCCTCATTCCCAGATGACAGGGGAGTACACTTACCACCGCCACCTCCAAGCAGGGAACTGTTGGCTGCAAGAAACAGACAGAGGCGAGTTAGTTAGGAGGGGGCTGGAGAGGGTCAGCAGAGGGGACATGGGGTCAATCCTGGGCCATCTGGGAGATGGAGGAGGGCCAGAGGCTTCTCCATCATGGGCTTGGGGTTATAGGGTGGTCCACTTGGCTGGGAGCAGCCACAGGTGGGGCCTGATGTTACCACAGAGACCATTTTGTGCCCAGCCAGGGGAAAAACAGAGGCCAGGATGGGGCAGGCCTAGTCCCTGCCCAGTGAGATTGCTGGGGACTGTGGACACAGGCTCGAAGCCACTTGGACCCAGGGAAGGAGTGGAGTAGTGACATCTGATGGATGAGGGGGACACGGTGAGAGAGGGTCCTCCTTTCCTAAGCAACATGGTGTGGGAACTGGAACCAGACCAAGCTGCATTCAACAGATGGTGACTTAGGCCACCTCCCTCGGTGCCTCAGTTTCCCCAAGTGTAAAGTGGAGAGAACAGGAGTGCTGTCTCTCAGTGTGGGTGTGAAGCTCAAGGGAGCGGAATCCTCTGCTCTGGGCTACAATGGGGGGCTCAGCCCCCCCATTCCCTCCCCAGACGGGAGGTGGTACCAACAGACAGACTTGGACCAGGCCGTAGTGGCGGTGCCCTTCCCAGAGCCCTATCCATACTGCTCTGCCTGGCC